GAATGTATTTCATGCTACATTTGAAGTCATTCTGGAAAGAAAAAAGAGGGTAATTTAGATTTATTTCAATTTTTTTTTGGTTGTTATGAGGTCAGTCAAATTGACCAACCATGTAGAGAGTTAAGGTAGTGAAAATAACAGATAAAATATAAAGTTTTACTGAAAACAAACATTTGAATTGTTTTTAGGAGGTTTTAGAGATTACACAAATGAAGTTTGATATTTTTGAGATGAAGAAGAGTATTATTCATCTTAACATGAAAATCACTTTACACACGAACTATTCAAAACAAATATTTGATATATCAAGGACAAATCTTTTTTGAGTTTATTAAAAATACTTCAGTAAAAAATAAGATTTTTTGTATGTGGAAGATTTATAATGTTTACTGAAAGACTAACAAATTTCATGAAGATATACACACTATATTAAAAGTTACTAGTATCAAATCTATAAAGACTGACCGAGTACAAAGAGGTCATGTGGTCGGTCAAATTGACTGAGCCCATGTTGAAAAAGTTAAATATATAAAGTACAATATTGTTTCATTGTATTGTCCCACTTCATGATACAGCTGTTATTTAATAGAGATGACTATCTATATTTCAGACCTGTTAGTAATAATTTGATGGATAATTTAAGAGACGATTAGTGTATGATAATTACTCTCTAACTGCACTCTTAAAGAGTCACATTGGTTCATCTGCTTAAGATAATAGTTGATTTGGAACTTTTCCTTCTGACAATTAAAAGGACTTAGCTAATTACATAGTAGATATGTTAATAAGTATAAGTAAGTAAATGCTACTTTTTTTTTTTTTCCACATGCAACAGCTAGTTAGAAAAGTAGTTCTTAATATGACAAGTTTGTTTGTATCCATTGATGAAACTGTTATTCTGGCATTTGCATTTTATTTACAGATGGATTAATCAGCAAGAAAGTATAGTGAGTGGAATGGCAGTCTTAGAAGTTGGTATACCTACAGGCTATTTCATTCAACAGCAAGAACTGGATGAGTACATCAGGTCTCATAGAGTACGAAACTTACAAGAGGCCAGATTTACCAACAGGAAAGTCATCTTCTATTTTGATTATGTAAGTTTTTCTTATAAAGAAAAATTAACTTTTGAATGTAAAAGAACTCGTATATGTCAGATTAAGAACATCTTTAAATACAAGTTGAATTGCCTGGGATTATTTGGATAATAAAAACCATTTTGGACTTTTCTTCATCAAAGAAGTAGATGTATTCTTTATTTTTTTGTCAGATTTTGGATCCACTGCTGAAGCTATCATTGTTCTTACTGTGTTGAAAGTTCCAGCAATGGAGAAGTCTCTTAACCTTAAAGAACATCTTTGATTTACCATTACTACTAATAGTATATGATCTTTGAATACTTTAAAATTGTGTGTTTGATTTTTTATTTTTGGCCCATGTTTAATTTAGATGACATGAAATGAATACAGAATCTTAGTTTTTCAGCTTTCATATCTTAATTACTACAGAATTAGCAGTGATATAAAAGTGAAAGTACTTTCTTCTTTCAAACATATGTGATTATTAAATCAAACTTTTCATAGAAGCAATAACTATGAAATCCTATTATACTGGTTCTTTTTAACTGTCAGATTATTTAACTTACTTTGTATGATAAATATAATTTCCAAACTACAGTCATTCCGATTTAATTCTTACATTATATGCACTGATATTTTACTTACTCTGTCCACCTTGTACATTATTCATTTCCTGATGGTATTATACAATTTTTGCTACATTTTTCTTAAGATTCTGTACACCTTTGAATTATGAAACCAAAGTGCACCTCATTAAGACATTATAAATACTATAATGCAGCTTGCTGTCATAATGAATTGAATACCTTTTTTGCTGTTATTTTCACCTGTGGCTAGCCTTAATACTGGACATTTTGAGCTGGTTTTAATTTATGCTTGTTTTGATTAACTGTATAAAATTAATGAATAGTTAATTCTTTTCTTGATCCTGTGCTTTAGTTTTGGATTTCAGAGCTGTCAATCCAGTTTTGAATATTTGCTACACTTTAACCTGTGAGTGTGTTACGAGAGTGACGACAGTCAAGTTCTTAACATGAATGATTGATGGTAGGGTGCTGCTGACTGGTTGCCTTCACTCTAGTCGGGAGCACAAAATTAGGGAAGATGGCAGATAGTCTTTGTAACTTTACTATAACTAACTACAAAATCCGAATAATTATTTTATTCTATGTAAATTCACATTTAACAGTGAATCTACTATTTAATAAACTTTGAAATAGTTTTCAAGCACTTTTCTTTCATCTTCAGTAAACTGAGATGCAATTTCAGTGGAATATCTACCGCTACAGTCTAGCTTTATTATTACACTCATTTTGAGATGTGTACTAATCGGATGTTTGTAACTCTGCTTTTTGTGTTTCAACTTTGTTTTGTTTTCAGAGCTATTAATTCCTACTTTGGGGAAAAAAATCATATTCAACAGCTAGACATCTTTTCCCTATTACCATATTTTCAATTTAACTTGTAATTCTATTTTAATAAACCTTTAATAAAAAAAAAAGTATTTCTATATATATAATGATTTTTAATTCCTTTTCATGAGTAATTTTCTTTTATGATGTTCCAGTGTGTTCAACTGCTTGTGTGTTTTTGGTTATGATAAATTTATATTCTGTGTGTGGATATAAATTTAACTCACTCTTTAGCTGTGATTGTAATAATTCTTAAAACCTTTTAGTAGAAAACTTTCAGTTACCAAACACAACAATTCCTTTTAAGAATTTATACATACATAGAATTGAGCATGGTATAGCATTGAACTTTGCATTATTGGTACTCTTTTTTTTTTTAATCTAATAATTTATAAAAGCCACAGTACTAAAAGTAAGAAATAATAATAAAATAATTACTTTTATATCCAGCTCCCAAGTGGAATCAAAACATAAATCACTTCAGTATGTGAATTATTTTTTCTCTAATAGCTGGATGCCATAGATACTTGTGTGTCCTTTACAGTTCACAGATGGTATCCTGTAGCTAACATGACGAGATACCTTTCAAGCAGGGTTTATGAATACTACACACCAGGTAAGTTGTTGAATTAGTTTGCTTATTTATTACTCTAGAATATCAACTAGGCAACAGTACTTACTTCAGCTGTAGAGTTGTGTATATGTCTCAAAATACATGATGAAATATTTCTTCTTTTGATCAGATTGCAACTTTGAGATACCCATTACCACAGTTTATTCTGTAACACTTAGTATGTTGTGAGCTCTTAAAGTTTCCAAATATTGAAGCTTCTTCAGCTTTCCAAAACCAACCGTAAATTTTGAATATTTAAATGACCATTTAGATTTTTCTTTTAGCTTTGTACTAAGCAAATGTAAAGTTCTTGTACACATTTTTTGTAAAGCCAAACTTATGGAGTCAGTGATGTATTCTATTATTTAAAATGCTGCTGCTTCATATATATATCTTTTTCTCCATTCTAGAACGGTACAATGAAACAATGTATGATGTTTACCACCTTTATGCACTGGACATCTGTCAGGTGTGTGGATCATATCAATGTCCATATTGTCCTGTATTTAGTTGGGCACCTACTCTCCATCCTGACTCTCTTACATTCCTGAGTTTCACAGGTTTTATTCTCTTTGTTACTGTCCTTAGAGATAACTAGTTCTAATTATCGTTTTCAATAAAATGCCTATTCAAAGACAGATTGTTAGGTCAGGGAATAATACATTAAATAAAATATGATGAAACTGATACCTTAAAATTAACTTTACAAATAGTTTGAGTTATGTGATAAATGTCATTTGTTACATGAATGGGAAAATTTAAGTTGTTTATGCATGTCATTTATAATGTGAATCTCAGATTGAGATGTATCATTAATATACAATTTTTATCTTCCTTTTGTGGCCTTTGTTTTGGCTGTATCTACATTATATGTTTTATTTACAGCTTTTGTTTTAAACTTTTCTTTTGGTGGTTTTACTGTAAATATTTTACCATATACATTATTAATTTAAGGGATTATTATGCAATTTCTTTTCTGTAAAAGTACTTTGAAGTAATTGTTTCAGACTGGCAAACAGCTATTAGCTTACAATTTAAATTGAAACATTAACTGCTAATTAGCAAACAAAGTAACAGAAGTAAAGTAGTTAGGTGCAGTATTAAATTGGGAAGAAATGGAAAAGTACTTCATATAATTGGAAGTTTTGTAGTACTTAATTCTTTCCTCTGTTAAAATCTCAGTTAGGAATAGGAATCCTTTATCAAGAGTGGTGGATAATCTGTTTAAACACTATAGTCATAATATACAACTGAATAAAAATATATATTTATTTCATATACATGCATTTTTTTTAATCAAAGATTGTTTATTACAAGGAAGTAAGTAAATACAGTACTTGTAGACAAAACTGTTTAGTATTATCTGATGCTCTACATTTTGGCTTAAAACATCTATATTGCTTCACATATTTTTTTTTTTTTTTAAATATATGTTAACATCAGATATTGTGTTTCAGGATTCTAAAAAATATTTCTTAGATCAAAGAAAAGGGGTCAAAATTTATAAGATCATTACACGAAAGCTTTTATGTTTGTCATTCACTAAACCTGGAAACTACTTTTATTACTATAAGTGATCATGGAATATATATAAATACTACTGCAATACTACTTATAAGAAGCTATAGTTTTGCAAGTTTCAGTTTTTTTCTATATAAGCAAATTATACTGTCTTGCAAAATTAAAACCTAGTTGCATAGCCCAGTGTTCATAACAAGTTATTGTGTTATATCAGTATTACACTGTACTCATATTTTCGTGTTAAACTGTATTAAAATGTTTAAATAAATCTTCTATTCTATATATATATATATATATGTATTAATAAAATGTCAAGAAAATTTGTTTCTCAGAGATCTTGTTTTTGATTACAAACAAAATCCGTCCATATTAAATAGAACATTAATGTTATTTAAACTTGGTACTTACATATTTTTTTTATTTTTTTTCTTGTA